ATTATTTTCCTAATTCAACGAATTTATTTGCAGCCTTTCAGACGTGTCTTTTTTTTTCGTTCGACTGAGCATTATAAGTGGGGAGTTGAATGGTGACACTGTTAGGACTTTTTTTCTTTTCTTCTGTTGTTTTTCTCTGTCTATCTTGCATTTTTTCCTGCATTAAACTATTGCTATTGTATCAATATGCTTCGCCGCTGTACGCAAGTTTTATGAATTATGTTCTAATTGCTATCATAAAATATGATATCAATTAAGCTTTCATTTCACGAAACAAAAATATAATAACAAATAATGATTTCCCACTTCCCAGCAAGTTTATCGATCACAGCACCTCTGTGTTCTGAAGCCTGAGCGATTCTTCCTCCCTGCTATTGGCGCCCGTCGGTCGATAAATAAGGGGAGTCGTCAATATGTGGGTAATTGTTACAACAAAAGAATAATATCATAACATCCAGAACCTTATGTTTCAAACATGGCCAGGCATGATCACAGTTCGGGATTGGTGATGGTTGTGAGTCTGTGTGTGTGTGTGTGTGTGTGTGTGTGTGTGTGTGTGTGTGTGTGTGTGTGTGTGTGTGTGTGTGTGTGTGTGTGTGTGTGTGAATTGTCTAGGTGTGAGATATTCTTCGTGCGTTTCTTTTAACTTTTAAAAATTAAAAAAACCCAAAAACCCACTCAGACATCACACTGTAAGCTTCAGGTCCATGGCAGTATATTCAGCAATAACAAACCTCTCTCTGCTTCTCTGTGACATTAGGCACGAGTTTGTGACCACCAGTCAAGTTGCGGATGGCGTTGATCCGGTACCAGGCCCGGTTGTGCGGGATCCGCTTGGCCATGAAAGCTGTAGTAATCCGAGCCTCGTCCTCCTCCGATAAGTCGGGACGCTTGCCCATTTTCTGTCATGAAGTACGGAGAAAATAGATATTAGTATCATTATTTAATCCTAAGTAATATTCGTGTTCACAAAATTCTCAGATTTTAGCCTTAGAAACAGAGCATAAATGCATCAAAGCTATTATGGTTGAGTTTTACATTGTATTAGTAACAAAGGATAAAAGATAATATGTTAAGCTTGAAAAAATGACTTTAAGTTGAAAATCTACCTATTCGGCTCCTCTTTTGATTTTCAGAGGATATCACCATTCATGGATTGTAAGAATTCGTTTTGTCAGCACGCTTCACTGGTCTTTATCTAAAAACATAAAAAAAGGAGCATAAAGATTTGCACATGACGCGAATGGTGACTTACTTGAGCAGAAGAGGTTCATTAGCCTTAATCAAGACTATCCTAAAACAGACATAGAAAATTCTTTAAAACCTGTTACAGTTTCTGGAAAATCTTACAATTTGAATTAGATTTTGCAATATCCGGCATGAATGAACATTAATTGACGCTTGTCATATGGAAGATTCCCTGTACCCAACTAATTTTGTTATCCAAGTTTTCTGTGTCATAGCATTCCCCATAACGCCACCCCTATTTTAACCTATCTGCATAAAGTAACACCAAACTGAGTAGAAATGAACGATCCATGCCATAAACAACAGTTTGATTATAGTTATTATGATGAGTTTACTGGGGTTTCGTAGATTTTTATTATGAATTAGAAAAACAAAAAAACAAAACGATCGACGCCGAGCGCCAGCTGAACTGGCTTGTCGTGTACTAAGAGTTAAGGGATACAGCAAAAGACACATATCGACAAACCGGTGTCTGTGGTGTATCTATTAGGCGCTTCGTTGTCGTACGCAGGAGACCGGAATTCGATTCCGAGTGAGGAGAAATTTTAATGGAATATCTGGGCCTTTCTGCTGTGATAGTTGTAATGTCCCCCTCAGCCCGGTTTTGGTCCTAACAGGTAAGGTCGGAAGACCGCCTCCTAAATGATCAAATTTGTATTCTTGGGAGCTTAAAAACACCTATATTAAAAAGTAAGGTTGGCAAAGAGTTTGAGCTCGTCACTCACCTTGAGGACGTCCACAACAACGGCCTTGTCTGCCTTGCTGTGTACCAGCTCAACCCCGCCTTTTTGTCCTATCGGGAAAGACGAAGATACCACAATGAAATTTAATGACCTAATAAAAATAATAAAATTATAAACTAATTCCACTTGGAAAATTTGCTTTATTACTGTTGGGTACATAAATAAATAAATACAGTCGAAATTGCCTTAGACGGCCACCCCTTGTCGAGAAGAAAAGTGGTTGTCTTAGACAGGTGCATCTCCGGCACCGTCATCTCCAACACCACCAAGCTAACGCCCTTGACAATATACCTTGTTTAAAGTACTGCGATGCGTTGTATAACCAGATGAATCTCCCACCTTGAACTAGAAATTCAAATATTTTGAGTAAGTGAAAAATGTTAACTCTCTTGCAGTCTGGAGATTGTGAATAATAGCATCACAATTCTGTGAACAAGAAAAGGATTAATCATCAAAGAACAGAAGTACTGTACTTGTGAGGAGAAATATTCACATTAAAATTTATTTTGTTTGCATTCATCAAGACTTGTACTCTTTTCTTCTCTTCATGTGGCTTCAAAAGACGTTGGTTGTGATGATATCTCAGACTCTCTTGAAGAGACCAGAAAAGAGAGTTAAGAAAAGAAAAACCCGATAAGATAAGATCATGAAAAGATGTGACCAAATTAAGTCAAATAGGACAAGTTTTAAGTATGGGTCCACCATTTGGTGAAATTGGCAGGATTAGTTTCACTTCCATAAGCTTTTGCGACACAAAATGTAAAACACATTGCATCACAGTAATACAGTATACACAGAGATGAACCCAAAAGTACGAACATGTGTATGCGCATGTCATATTTTTGTTAAACAGATGAACAAGTGAAACAGGAAAATCATAACAATATAATAATATTTACAAAACTTCTTGGAGGAAGTAACGACATCTGCAGCACTGTTTGAACGGGGGTGCATTTTTTTCTTTTGGGAATGCAGGATTTTTGTTTGTGTTAGAAAGAGTTTTACGACACTTAGTAGAGTAAGTTATTTGAGTGCCGAAGATGAGAAGTTTTACAAGAGATTAACATACACAAAAAAGGAGGAGAATTAAGGACAACAAATATTTAATAGGAAAGAAGAAACAAACTGCACCAGTGCCTTGAGTATCCGCCAACTATCCACATGCAAGATTCTACAGTTTTCAATTCTTATAAGATTAGTTCAGTTTTTGTATAGGTTTTACGGCGCTCGCAACTGCATAAGGTCATATGAGCGCCATTTCTTATAAGAACTGAGAAAAATGAATATTACTTCAAATGTATACAACTATAACTACATTCATCTGTGTAATTTATTTAGTCGTGTTCGGAGTCTGCACGGTGACATTTATAAGTGAATCTAGAGGGCATTCCACTTATGTGACAGGGAACGTGATCTATATCTACGTCATCAGCACAGACAAAGGGGGTGAAGGTTGGGGAGGTGTGGAAAAAGGGAGATGGGGACGAATAGAGATTTGTGATCTACTTGTCTACGTCCTGAAATGATATCTTGTGATAGGTGCACAGGGTTATTCTGAATGATTCATTCTATTCCTTCTCATGTGATCTAGACTGTGTCGATTTAGGCGCAAAACATTTACTCATCAACTTTTGAAGAATGGGTTCCAATCTCCGTTAAAAGTCCACTTTATATAAAGAAGTTCCGATCTCTGAAAAGTCAACTTAATGGATTCCCGATCTCTGTGAACAGCCGACTCTAGAAAAAGGAGTCCCGATCTCAGTGAAAAGTCAGCTTTAGAAAGAGGTGTCCCTATCTTTGTGAAAAGGACCGTCGGAGTTTTAAGATCACGTTGTAATGGTTTTATTGGTTGAACAATTCGGAATAACCCAGCGCTATGCTGCTTTGTGATATACATGTATATGTTTGTTTTGGTAATTTCACCTACCAGTCCCGGGGTCATACGTAAACGCTGACGCAATGGTCAAGATCATGTCAGCTTGGAGGGTAAAAAAGTGTAGAAAATGTCAGCTGGATAAGTACTTTCGTTGAAGTAAGAGTTTTACGACGCTTGCAACACAATAAGGTCATATAAGTGCCGTAGTTTGGAGGTGTTGCAAGAGAGTATCAAACAAAATCAAAGGAGAGATAAAAACGACAGATGTTTACAAGAGCACGATTACACGACACAATATGGACACTAATTATACACACATAAACATACACTCGCAAACACACACACACACACACACACACA